AGCACCCTGTCGCTGTCACGACGGGCAGAGCAGAGTTTTTCCGCTTAATAATGCTATTTCTAACTGAATGCCCACTGCAGTTTTGATACCAGCAGCGTGTGTTACTAGACAACAGTTCCTAGTTCTTTCCAGGCCGTTAGCATGGCCGTGAGCAGGCGGGTTCCACCCACACCAGGACAGCCCTGGTGTGAAGTGAAGTGCTGTATGGTTTACAGAGCGTTTCACATGCATGGTCTCATTTCAGCCTCACGCTCACCCTGGCAGTAAATAAATAGCAATAACATCACCCCCATTTTGGTGATGAAAAAAACCGAGGCTGGGAGCAGTTAAGTGACTGCGAATGAACTAAAACTGGGTCCAGTCTGTCTGTGTTGCTAATGTAAGATGTTGCAGAACTGTCTGTGGTTAAAAGAGAAGGAATATTTATTTTTAACAGTGTCCTTTTCTTCTTGCCACAGTTCAAGATTGTCCTAAAATTTGATTTGATAGAAGTATTTTCCATAGTCCTCTAAGTCAGTCTTTGAAATGCTTTTCTGCCTCTGGGTCTTGTTTTGCTTTGAAGCGTGGATGGCAAACACGGATCTCTCTTATATAATCTCTAGGTCTTACATTTTAGTTCTCTACCTGAACATTTGTAATGCTACTTTGATTCTACCACAGTAAAGGAAAGCAATCTCTTATTTCTGCTGTTAAAACTTAGATATCTAAGATTAAAGGAACTATATGTAGGTATTGCTTATCCAGAAGCCTTCTGAATATTTCCTTTCTAATGGAAATGCTGGATGTTTTTAAGCAACATTATCTCTTACAAAACAATTTGAAAAGGAAAAAAAAATCACACAAGGATAACAGACTGTTTTTTATAAGAAGAAGCTAATTTTCACAAAAAGTATTGTTATCAGTTTATAAGGCTGCTAGAAAATGGATTTTGTATTGAAAATAGCTAAGAGCATAGTCATTGTTTTAAAGATGCTTTAGGATGGGGATAAATGTTCAGTATTTTTTTAACATGTACTGGCATGTATCTGGATGAGGTTTTTTAAAGAAAAATCACAAGTTTTATAAAATCTAAGAAACTTTAAAACTGTGTCATTTATAATGTAAAATTAATGCAGTTGAAATTCAGTGGTTGACTCATAGCTCCCACATTCATCTTCAGTTCTCTTTAGCTCATATGGTTTTCTTTAAAAATTAGTGATATCAGCTAAATGGGACTCTTTCCCACTCCTACCCACAGAGAAAAGTGCTTTTGTGAACATGTCAGCTCTTTTCCATCATTACATGCCATCGTGGAGTGCAACAGAAGCAAGCTGGCTGTTCGTACTCATCACCAATATTAGTACAAGTTCAGGAGCAAAATCTAAAGATAACCTTAAAATTTCCATTTGTTTATTTTATGCATATAAGCCACATTTTTGGTACCAAGGAGTTTTATATCTGCACTGGATCTTTCAAGTCTTCCAATCTAGCCTCTTTATTTTGGATCTGGGGAAGCTAAGGCACAGAGAGGCTCAGCAACTTGCCCAAAGTCACACAGCTCACTGCTGAGCCTAGAACCCAGGTCTGTGTGACTGCAAAGCCTTTGCTCCTGCTACAGTGCTTCACAGAGAGATTATTTACCCCAATCATTTGGCCCGTGCCCTGCAGCACCCTCCACTGGTGCCATGCTAATTAGGAGGCAGTTTCACAAATGTTCTGTAAAATGTGAAGATGTGAAGCCAGCTACCATATCTCTCCAGAAATCTTCTCAACTCTGCTTCTAGCAATCAATTTAGGTTTCTCCAGACTAAGCGGTTCTATCACACCTTCCTGTGATTTGCTTTCTAGTTACCGTCTTCTGGACATATTCCTTTGACACATTCCAGTTTTATTAAGATGGGACCCACCCAAAACGGGACTCCTCCAACTTGTTCCTCATCCTTATGTTTCCAGTGTCCATGAGTCCCACTGCCGTCCTTTGTGTGTCCCAGCCCTAAAAACGCAGTCGCTTTGCCTCTCCTTCTCTCCCAACCCCCAGCATCCACGCAATTTCTCCCACAGCTTACCCTCTTCCTACTTCTACTACTCAGATTTTTTTCCTTGACTGTAGAAATAGTCCCTTAACTGCTTTTCTTGCCTCAAGTCTCTCCAGAAATGCTTTCTTAAACTTCGGTTGCTATGCAAGGTCTAATTGCTGTTGGTTTGTCTCCCCCAGGACCAAGAAACCCCCAGTTCCGGATTCTGGTTCTGCTGTGCGTCTGCCAGCTCTGTGGCTTTAGGTACATGACTTATATCTTCGGCCTCCGTTTCTCCACTTATAAAATGAAGATGTTGAACAAGACAGTCTCTAAAGAGATGCCTCCATTTCTAATCTTCTATGTGTCTCCCCACTCCAATCTGCTGAACAGACTGCTTCCAAAGAAATCTTCCTAAAATACTGATCTTTTTTTTTTTTTCTGCAAAATCCCTCAGTTGCCCCCTCCTTTCACATAAATCCCAATCTCCTTAGCCTGGCACTGAGGAAACACTGCAGATTGGTATCCAACTCTCCTCCCTTAGCGCTCCGTGCTCTTCACGAGCCCACACTCAAGCTGAACTCGGCTACTCCCTTTTCATCGTACTTGTGCCAAGCTCCCACCTCTTTGCTCCTGCAGCACCAAGTGCTTTCTTTCTACCTGGCACTGTGGGTGGGACACGTGCCATGTCTTTGTAAGCGCCTCGCAAATGGGTCACCCCTTCCTCATCCTCGTCTCCCACACAACACCTCATGCTTAGGAGGCACTCAATAAGTAGTTGTTGACTAAATTTGTTCAGCCCAGAACTGCACTAACATTTTTTGGCCGTCACATTGTATTCTTGATATTCAGAAACTTCACCTGTTAGAGTTTAATCTTCATCCCTTGTTCTTGTCTGTACAGATCTTTCTGATTCTTGGTTCTCTTATCTAGTTTAGTGTCGTCCCATTGTGTTACCCACAGGTGTGATGGGTATGCTGACTGTTTCACTGCAGTTGTGGATACAAATGTTGAACAGGAGAAAGACCAGTAGCTTGCCAGCTTGTCATCTCACTCTCTAGCTTGACAGTGGCATTTAAAAAAATAATTATTATTATTATTTATTTATTTTCCTTACTTTTGGGCTGCATTTGGTCTTAGTGGTGGCACACGGGATCTTTGTTGCGGCATGCGGAATCTTTCATTACAGCGTGAGGTCTCCTCTCTAGTTGTGGCGTGCGGGTTTTCCCTCTCTAGTTGTGATGCGCAGGCTCCAGGGAGCGTGGGTTCAGTAGTTGTGGCGTGTGGGCTTAGTTGCTCCGTGGCATGTGGGACCTTAGTTCCCTGACCAGGGATCAAACCCACATCCGCTGCATTGGAAGGCGGATTCTTTACCATTGGACCACCAAGGAAGTCCCTTGACAGTGACATCTTATCTTGCAGTCTTTGGATATGGTTATTTAAGCACATATGACTATATTTTGTTATAATTCATCGCGTACATAGACATTGAAGTGTAATCTCTGCATTCGTTTCATTCGTTTGTTGACAACAATTCAGGTGTAAGGCAGCATACTAGGCTTTGTGTAATATAAAGTGTTGATTAGGATTTGGCCCCTTGTCCCGTTTGAACTTCAGGGAGCAAATGAGACTCATGTACAAGGTAAAGTATGAGGCCCAACACGAGAGGTAGGTCAAAAGGCTTTGGAGTCAAAGGATGGAGAGGTACATTTCTGGTTGAGTGAAGCCTTACAGAGTAGGACTGTCTTAAATGGGCATGAGGAGATTAAGGTACAGGCTAAGCTGCTGTAACAAAGAGAGTCCAGAATACAGAGGCTTTACCGCAGTGACAGTTCATTTCTCTCTCAGTGCTTGAGGTGGCAGGTGGTCCAACCAAGTTGCACTGTCCTCAATACGAGGCTTCCACTAGCGGGTTCAAGGTGACTGCCCCCGTCCTCACCATTCCCAGCCAGAAAGGTGATAGAGACCAAGATGTACCACTCAGTCACTTTGAGGACATAACAGGAAGTTGCTTATATGGCTTCCATTCATATCACACTGGCCTGCACTTAGTCATGTGACCACACCCAGCCTAAAGGAAGTCAAAATGTAGTCCTTCCCTGGTAGCCTCATGCCCAGCTAAAACTATTACTTTTGAAGGAGAAAATAGATATTGGGAAGACAATTAACAATCAGCTACAGGAGAAAAAGAATTCCGTGTGAGAAGAAAAACTGTAAAAGAGGAAGTCAATGGATTAATTCTATCTCAGCTGCGTGGAACTTATCAGAAGCATAGATTTGAATTTAGAAGAAAAAACTAGAACTCTTAAAGGAGGAATGGGCTGTCTTGAGAGACTTCTCCACCTCTGAAAATGGTCAGAAGAATACAGTCAGAAGGACGATGGGTAAAAGGTCAGCCTTTAAGACTCTAGCTGTGTGATTATAGTGGGATGGAGAGGAAAGGTTCCTATAAACTGTCTGGAAACTACAACACTAGCCCCGATGTGCGAAAATAAGGGTGGGAGCAGTGAGAATGGGTTGGAAGGAACAGATGTAAGAGAGAATAAACAGAGCTTGGCTGAAGGCTGCTGGGGAGGGGAAGGGCAGATCTGGGGAGCACATTAGCTTAGCCACCTTAGGGATTCAGAAAAGTGGGCTCCAGGAAGCCTTTGCCGTGCCAGGCATGGGTGTTGCTGCCTCTTCCCAAGCCCAGGAAATATTGATAGAACCGAGTTCTTCCTGCATAAAACAATGAGCATCACAGTAAGCTCTGCTCCTGAGAAGGCATTTTGTTCATGAACAAGTGTTTTTTTCTCACTCTATCCTAATTTTCATTTCTGTTTAAATTCAGTGAAAGCATTACCAAATTTTAAAATAATGTACTTAGGGATTCCCTGGTGGCGCAGTGGTTGAGAGTCCGCCTGCCGATGCAGGGGACGCGGGTTCGTGCCCCGGTCCGGGAAGATCCCACATGCCGCGGAGTGGCTGGGCCTGTTTTGCCGTGGCCGCTGAGCCTGTGCATCCGGAGCCTGTGCTCTGCGGCGGGAGAGGCCACAACAGTGAGAGGCCCGCGTACTGCAAAAAAAAAAAAAAAAAATCATGTGCTTCGTTTTCCCCTGTCTCCCAGTCCCCACCCCACTCAATTCATCAAAGATATCTAATCTGTTTGTTTTGAAAATGCAGCTGTTCTCTGGATTTATATGTGCTCCGATAGGAAATGTTTTGTGTAATAATAAAAGTCATTCTCTTTGGTGGATACCGTTGTTGCTTTGTGTTCTGTCCAAGAACGGTATTTCTTAACATCTGTTAAATACTAGCATTTTCCCCACTAAGCAGATTCCACTGGTGGCCAGTTTGTATTGCAAATCAAGGAATTCGTAACTTGTAACTCCTCCTGGTCATTCAGGGCCATGTCTAAAGGATCAGAGCCACAGATGAACGTTCTCAAGCAGCCTCTGCAGATCCCTGATAGAAGAGAGGGAGGCATAAATGGAAAGGCCTCCAGTAAAGGTCCCCCCCACTCTGTGTGTCTAAAGCACTTCTGTTTGGAATGTGGGAGCGTCTATAATGTTGGCAGAATCACAGAAGCTTCCCTGTACTGAGCATTGGCCCCTCATAATGGTCCTATGAGGCAGGTTCCCTCATATCTCCCATTTTATAGAAGCGGAAACTGAGCACAGAGAGGTCAAGTGACTTGTGCAAGGTCACACAGGATTCAAACTTCACTCTGCTGGACTCCAGAGCCCAAGCTCTTAATCACTACATCGAACTCCTTAGATGGAGTAGGTACTCTGATGTTGCATAGACTGTGTCTCTCCCTCTTGGGCATTGCGAGCCAGGACAGTGAAGCCACGGGGGAGAATTTACAGGAGGACAGGGCAGGGCCTGAACCTGGGTCCTGAGGGGCAGTGGACGGGACAGAGGATACCTCAGCTGAGGGATTACCTGAGTCAGGTGGGCAGGCTCATTCCCACGGAAATTGGGTAGCTTGGGGGTGAAGAACACAGCTTCCAGAGGCAGGTTGCCTGAGTTCATCCTAGCTGTGTGACCTTGGCCAAGGTAGTTATCCTCTGTATGCTTCAGTTGCCCCATCTGTAAAGTGAACATAAGAATAGTATCTGTCTCATAAGATTGTCCTGAGGATTGAATGAGTGAATATATCTGAGACAGAGGCTGCTAGTTGCCCCACAATACCCTTTTTCCTCTTTTTCCATAGTAATGGCTTCCAATGTTTAGCTGGGCCTATAGCCTCCCAGAATAAAAACTGTACTTTCTAGCCTCCCTTGTGGCTCTGCCTGGCCAGGTAACTATGGCCAGTGAGATATAAGCAGATGCTACTTGGCTTCTACCTGGAAAGGCCAGCTAGCATGTACTCTTTGCTCCCTTTGTCTTCTTTGTCCCTTCTTCCAGCCTGCTGCCTGGAATGTGGATGTGGTATCTGGCATCCTAGCTGCCCTTTCAGACCTGAGGATAAGGGTAACACCGTAAGGATGGTGGAGCTGTGAGCCGGAAGAAGCCTTTGTCCCTGAAGACTTCACGAGCAAATCTACTATAGCAGCCCCTGGCTACCTACTTCTGTGCTTTTACACAACAGAGAGAGAAACGACTATCTTATGTAAGCCTTTGTGATTTGGGGCCTTTATTACGTGGTTGAACCTAATCTTAACCTATACAATGTGAAAGACAAAGTGATGTCTGGCACATAGTAAGCAATTCAATGTGCTGGATAAGTATGATTATTATTTTGTTTTAAATAATGGATGAGGTGAGGCCAAATTATAGCAGGGCTTGGAAAATCAAGGAGAGAAATTTGACCTCAATGTGAAGAGACCTTTATATTTGTTACTTCTAAAAAAATGACTTGAGGAGAATTAAACTAAAATGACCCACAATCCCTAGGACCATCCCATAAAGATAAAAGATAAGACCTATGGAAAGCAGGGGAAAGAATTGTACCAGAACCCTAGGCTAAGCCTGGTTATTAAAACCGCACAAAGTTTAGCTCTGAGTTGCTGGGCTGCTTCAGCTCTGAAAAAACAGAAGCCTTTGCAGGAAGTCAAGTATAAAGTGATGAAGGGGGAGGACAGTGGAGTGGGAATCATCTGGAAGATGGTTCAAAGGAGCTTACAAGTGCTTGACAAAGAATAGCTGTGAGGATAAAGGAAATGCAAATGTCAGAGATGACTAAAGTTGCACATCTGAGCCATTATAGTAGTCAGGTGTCTGCTACTCAAGTGCTGTGTAACAAACGGCCCCATAATCTCAGTGCATTACAGCAATAAGCATTTATTTATTGCTTATGGGTGTGCAGATTGGCTGTGATGGCTGGAACCAGATAGGTTCAGCTGAAGCTGCCAGTTGTGTTCAGGTCTATTCCAAGTGTCTCCTCATTCAGGGACCAGAGGCTAGGTAGGCAAATTCATCTTGTGGCAGATGGCAGAAGTGCTGGAGACCAAGCCAAGCCATGAAAGCCTATTTAGGGACTTCCCTGGTGGTCCAGTGGTTAGGACTTCGCCTTCCAGTGTAGGGAGTGCGGGTTCAATGCTTGGTTGGGGAGCTAAGATCCCACATGCCTTGCAGCTAAAAAACCAAAACATTAAACAGAAGCAATATTGTAACAAATTCAATAAAGACATTTAAGAAATGGTCCACGTTAAAAAAAATATATCTTCAAAAAAAAAAAAAAGAAAGCATATTTAAAGCCCCTGCTCCCATCACCCACGCTAATGTTTCTGTTAGCCCAAGCAAGTCACGTGGCCAAGTCCAAAGACAATGGGGCAGGGAAGTAGGCCAGCTCTACCAGGAGGCACCACAAGGTCACGTGATGGGAGGAGGAGAGACTAGAGAATAAGAATCCAACCTGCCACAGCAACTGAAATACAAGTGATACCCCAGACGTCAGGTTTCTTAAAGCAAGGCATACCTGGAACATGAGAGCCATCTGTCTGGTGCAAAGGGTTCTGACACTGCAGTCAGGAGATCTGGGTTCCAGATCTATCTCTGGGGCATACTCAGCCTTTCTCTTGTCGCTATTTTCTGCCATAGATGTTAGCACTAGACCATTCTTTCCCTGCACCTACCATCCTTTTCCCTTCCCCTCACACACCGTGGGTAGGATCCTGGCGTACAGTCGCTCCAGAAATGGCCTTGCAACTGACATTAGTGGATCGGCCATGAAAACAGCTCTCGAAAATTGGCCCTGCTCCTAGGTACAAAGACTAGAAAGAAGTATTCCAAGATGGTCCTCCTGGGGATGGGACTTCAGGTTATTTTAGGTCTTTGTGTATTTTCCAAACTTCCTCCAATGAGCATATATAAGTTTTATAATATCAAGGAATTTTTAAATGATTTTTTTAAACTCTTGTCATTGGCTCAACTCTATTTCATCCATCCTTTGCCAATAAATATTTAAAGTAAAAGTCTATCTGAAGCATTAGCACAGTGGACCTGCCAAGCCACGTCTTCCTTGAAGGAACAAACTCCCCAAACACAGGGCAGTTACTGTCCTTCTAATATGAATTCATTTCCCAGGAATGGTTTGAGATTTTGTTTTGTTTGTTTTTTTGTTTTTTTCCCCCTGAATTTGGTGTTGTGGGGGGAGGGGCAGAGGGGCTTATAAATTTGAATATAAAAGAGCAAATCAAGTTTTCCCTCTTTTTCTTGTTGTTTTGGTTTGGGGCCTATATGGAACCAAGTCAGGCCGGAAATAGGCGCAGGAAATCCACCAGCTTTTGTCCTTTTGTCAGCTTTCCAAATGCTCCTCAGCCCCTCCCACACTCAGATATGAAGCCCCAAAGGGGCATCTGACAGCAGACAAAACCACCAACCTGAAAAGAATACTCTTTGTGCCGGGGCTCTTTTCACCAGTCAAACCCCCGTTCTCTCCAGGCACAGGAAAGCAGATTTTGAACGGAAGGAGGACAGGCTTTTTTTTTTTTTTTTGACATTTATTTATTTATTTGGCTGCGCCGGGTCTTAGGTGAGGCATGTGGGATCTTTTAATTGTGGCATGTGGGATCTTTTAATTGTGGCATGTGGGCTCTATTTCCCGGACCAGGGATCGAACCCCGGGCCGCCTGCATTAGGAGCATGGAGCCTTAACCACTGGACCACCAGGGAAGTCCCAGGAGCTCGGGCTTTGAGTCAGCTAATCCTGATTGGAGCTACTAAAAACACCCCTCCCTTGACCTTGGCCCCTCCCCATCACTATCTAGTTTCTCCGATCTAGCCTCTCATTTAAAACTCTCCAGAGCACTACCTCTTCTCCCTAATGTCCCATATGCTCTGCATCCTCGCACAGTCTGGCTTCCGTCCTACTCCTCCCTCCAGGGATGCTACCCCCTGGATCATCAACAAGCTACTTGTCAAGTCGAAGTTCAGCCCCTTGTTTACTTTGGCCCCTTGCCTATATGTGAAACCTTCAATTATTCATTCTTTAAACTCTTATTCCTTTGGTCTCTATGAAATCACGCTCTCCTGGTTCTTCTGGGCTCTCTCTGAACATTTAAGTTCCTGTTTCTTCCTCTCCTGGCCTTTACTTCTTGTTGTCCTGAGTGCCGCCCTCTGCCCACACATATTCTCACACACACCCCTCTCTCAGTGGTCTGATTCATTCTTAGTTTCAACCACGATTCGTATGTGGATAACTCCAGCCCAGACCGTTCCCCTCTGATTCGTATTTCCTGGAGGTGCTGGTCTTCCCGTGGCGGCTGTCACATGGGCCTGAAACCCACCATGTCCAGAGCTGAATTCATCTCTCATTAGTGCTCTTTGGTTGTAAGCAACAGGGACTGATGCTGACTAGCCTATGCATAGAAGAGAGTAGTCGGAAGGATTGCAAGGTAGTTCCTAGAGTCAAAGCAATCACTGAACAACCCAGTGATTGGAGGCGAGAACCAGGTCACTGCATAGATTCAAGTTTCCAGGAGTGAACTTGACACGGCCAGCTTAGGTCATGGCTCTACTTCTTGGGTCTGTTATAGCAATAACATGGGACAAGAGGTGCAACGGGTCCAGACAATAGCCATCATGCCTCTGCCTCCCAAATCTGTTTTTTCTTCTACATTCTCCATTTCAATTGGTAACCCTGACATCCATCCATCTACCACCTAGACTGGGAAGAAGGTTCTCTCTCTCTCCCTCTCATCACAAAGCCAGTCCAATCATTACATTCTGACACTACCTTTATTATTATTTTTTTTAATTTCCATACAATGCTTACCCAGCACCTGATTTGTGTGGGATGGTGGCTTAGAAGTTATGGAACCCTGTTATCTTTTTTATTTTTTTAAATAAATTTACTTATTTATTTACTTTTGGCTGCGTTGGGTCTTTGTTGCTACACGTGGGCTTTCTCTAGTTGCGGCGAGCGGGGGCTACTCTTCGTTGTGGTGCGCGGGCTTCTCATTGCTGTGACTTCTCTTGTTGCGGAGCACGGGCTCTAGGCACGCGGGCTTCAGTAGTTGTGGCACATGGGCTCAGTAGTTGTGGCTTGTGGGCTCTAGAGCACAGGCTCAGTAGTTGTGGCACACGGGCTTCTCATTGTGGTGGTTTCTCTTGTTGCGGAGCACAGGCTCTAGGCGTGCAGGCTTCAGTAGTTGTGGCACATGGGCTCAGTAGTTGTGGCCTTCAGGCTCTAGAGCATAGGCTCAGTAGTTGTGGCGCACGGGCTTAGTTGCTCCACAGCATGTGGGATCTTCCCGGACCAGGGATCGAACCCATGTCCCCTTCATTGGCAGGTGTATTTTTAACCACTGCACCACCAGGGAAGTCCCTGACACTACCTTTTAAAGCAGTTCTCCAAACAGTTGCCTCCTCTCCACTACTTGGACCTCTGACCTCCGTTGGGATCTTACTATCTCTTGCCTTGATGACAATTAAGCTTCTTGAAAAGTCTCTCTGCTCCCATTCTTGTCCACCTCAAATTTGTCCTCCACATAACAGCCAGAGTGATGTATCTAAAACCCAAAACTGACCATGTTACTCCTCTGTTTGAACTCTTTACCTGGAAGGTAAAGTATAGGATTTTCAGTCCACGTTTCTTGCTATAAAATAAGATTCCGCCAGAGCCTTGCCCTTGCCTACAGTTCCCCGTCCACACTCCCTGCTCTGCAGCCTGTTTTTGTTTATGGAACCCCTTCTGTCCAAGAGACCCCTGCTCTCTCTTACCTCCAACTTGGCTATTATCAACTCTAGAACTCAGTTGAGACCTTCCCTTCCCTAAGTCTTTCCTGACATCTCACGTGAGGCTAAGAATCCCCCCGACCCCCCCAGCGCTCCCTTTATGCCCTGAACACATCACTGTCACCACACATAACCAAGCGTTTGATAAATATCTGTTTGCATACCTATCTCTCCTACTACATGTAAATTCTTGAAAAGCAGGGACAGAGCAAGGCAGGTGCTCTATAAATGTTTCTTGAATGGTCCTTGACCTTGGTAAATCAGATAAACTCTCTGGGTTTCAGCTTCCTCATCGCAGAAAAAGGATGACTCTACCCTATGTTGTGGAATTAAATGAGATGATACAAATGAAATGCCTTACCCAGTACCTGGCACATAGTAAGTACTGAACTGACAGTCACTTCCCTCACCACCATTCCAACTTCTGCAACACATTTTTTTTTGGCTGTGCCGTGCAGCATGCAGGATCTTAGTTCCCCAACCAGGGATCAAACCCGTGCCCCCTGAAGTGGAAGCACGGGGCCCTAACCATTGGACCACCAGGGAATTCCCCACAATTTTAATTAAATGGGAAAAGATTTATCAGTATCCTTTAGCTGTATGTCTCCCCTACTGGAGCGCAAGCTCTGTGAGGAAATGGGGCCAGGTCTGTATTATTCATTGCTACATCTTTTGCATAAGGCAGGTGCTCAATAAATATTTTTAGGATAAATGAATAACTGCTGTATGCACTTATTTGATTTTTCATTTTCACCTTCAATGAGCTTAATGTTCTTGTTTCCTTTTTCACATCGTATAAATCATCGACTTCTATTTATTCAGTGTGCACTGTTTTCCTACTGCAAACCAGCCAACGCCTGAGGAAGAATGGAGTCTGGGCTCCTGGACAAGCCAGGCTGCTGGGCAGTCGGCGAGGTTGCTGGCCACTCTCTCCCCTGGAGAGGATGATGCCCGCAGAGGCACTGGGGGAGGCACTCATCCCACTTTCACCTGCTGACCCCTACGGAGCACACAGCTCGCTCACTTACATTCACGGGCTCCTTTCATTCCCATAATAGTCCTTGGAGGGAGAAATTGTTTTACTGTGTCAGGCAGGGGCCCAGAAGGGGACAGATTAGCTCACCCAAGCTGGGGAACTGAGGAATGTTTAATAAAGGGATTTTATAAAAGTTTGAGCAGGGTTTAAGGAACCCTGCAAGGAATAGTGTAGTCCCTGGGGCTGGTGACAGCTGGAGTCCTTATCCCTCCTGAAGGGATGAGAGGAGCCGCCAGCGGCAGCCACCCAGGAGGGAGGGAGCTGGAAGAACAAACTCCCTGGCCTCACTCTTCTCCTGCCAGGGCTCCCCAGTGGCCAAAGGCAACCGCAACCACGTGGTCCAGAGGGGTGGGCCTTCAGGCCATGAGCAGGGTGAGAAAAGTCAAGAATGACTCTGGAAGAGCAAACAGGGCAAGGCCTGATGGTTCGACAGTACCAGGAGGGGGAACCCAGGCAGTCCAGCTTTTAGCTACTGGAGTTTTCCATGAGGAGCCAAGAGATGGTCATGTCTGCGTGGGATGAATGGGTACCGCCCAGATGGGGAAGGAAGACAGCCCCCTCTTTATAAACGCATACACACCCCTATGCTGCTCTGTGAACTGACAGGAAACCACCTGCTGACTTAACTCCAGCAGCGTGGAAATGTTGCAGTGAATTTCCCCCAGCACAAGGCCCCAGCAGCAGTTAAGACCCTAGACTTGGGAATCAGACTGGCCAGGACGTGAATCACCAGCTATGTGAGTTTGGGCCTCATCCGTAAAATGGAAACTGTCATACCAACGGGGGTGTTGTTAGGGTTACATGCAGTGTGCGATTTGCTTTGCATTCATTAAACATTAGCTAAAAACACTATCTTGGTAACAGCTATGGCTTTGCACTATCATAGTTTTTTGACCTAATTACTTACTCATTCCAACTTTCAGAATCCTTTAAGAATGGATATTTTTGTAACTGAGAAGAAGGATAATGGTACCACATAGAGATTTATAGTTTTAAACTCCTTTCCCTTAGATTATCACATGGGATTGTTACAAAAACCCAGTGAGAAAGGCTACAGAAATATTACTCTGCCTCTTTTAAAGATGGAGAAACTGACAGCCAAAGAGTCTCAGTGGCTTGTTCAAGGTCACTGAGGCAATAAACGTGATGGCATCCCACTGAAAGGGCAACGCCCGCTATCTGGTCTCCTAAAGGCAGATGGAAGCTGCAGCTCAGAGGGGGCACCTTGTGTGTGCCCATCTCTCTGCAGCCGTCTTTTGGCTGCATCATTTAACAATGTGCGTTTCCCCAAGTTATAATTTTGTCCTTCGTTTGCAACAGAGAATATCAGAGCCGCTTCCTCCCGGTAAGCCTGCGAGCAGGGGAGTGGTGAGTGCCCACGGTCAGGTTGGCTGCACCCCACTCACTGCTGTTTAGGTTTCCTCAGTACAGACCACTCCTCCGGCCTCTCCTGGCAGAGAGCACTGCGTTCACTCCCCCAGCTTCACTAGTGCTTTCTCTGTGGCCGGGGAAGAAAGCAAAGCTTGCCCCCAGGCTTCACTTACTGGAGGTGCACGCTTTACAAAGAGAAGCCCATCTCTGAAAGCACAGCATGCATTAGCACCCTCTCCTTCGGAGAGAGCTATTTTTGTCTTTCGTCTTCAGAGACTGTTCCAAAGTAGGGGATGCAAGAATCAGGAGGAGAACCAAAAAAACCCAAGGTCTCCAGCTCAGAAGAGAGCAAATCACTGTCATTTCCTCAAACAATTGCCGCAGCAGTGACGGAGAACAAACTGTGCTGGAGTCGAGCTGCCCTTGGGTACAGGACAACATCCAGAAAGAGACAGATCTCTTTCTGTGGGATTTCTCTCCGTACACTTCGCCACTTCGCGGAACAAGGTTCGTTGCCATGGTTACTAGCAAATCACATGATAGCCTCGCTCCCTAGAAGTGTAGGAGAACAGCCGGCTCAGACTGTGATGGAGAGGGAAGATGCTTTCCTCCCCAGCATGTTTGCTTTTCCTGAGCAAACCTACGCAGCACTTTCCCGTTCTGACCTGCCCACTTAGGGGGTAAGGGCCAGCCGCTCTTTGGGGTACCAATTCATTGCTTTCATAATGAGAGCAGCACAAGTTTCCCTCAAGAGATTTTCCTTCTGGTTTCAGGAGCCCCTCTCCCCCACTCCAGCCCCTTCCTTCTCTGGTCCCTCTGTCCCACATGCGCAGGCGTGCGCGTGCGCGCGCGCGTGTGTGTGTGTGTGTGTGTGTGTGTGCGCACACACACGAGTGCTGTACTGAACCCCTGAGCTGAGTGGAGGGTGGAGCATGCTGCCTACACCACTCTTGAATAAGCTCTTTTAAAATCCGAGGATGGCATGAGTCAGGGAATTTTGAAGCTGTGGTACCATCAGGGCACTGATGCCTCAAAGGGGTGAAGAGAGGGAGAATGGACTCACCCAGATCCTAAAGAGACCGGGCAGGGTCAGCTTTCCCCAGCCCAGCCTCGATGTCTTAGAATTGGGTCCACTCTGACCATGTCTGATGTGGTGAGGTGGGCATGGGCCCATGGTTGTCGCCTTCCTGGGAAGAGAAAACCGTGGCCTCGGAGAAAGCTCTAGAATGACAAAGCTCTTTGCCTCTTCCCTTCCCCCTCTCCTTCCCTACAGAACCAGGCCAATTAGCTCAAGTTCTGGGCTGCAACAGCAAGACTAGAGAGGCAGGTCTTTTCCCCTGACAACTATGGATTGCCTACTTCTTTGGGTTCAGATCATATCTCATCTTATCGATTCCGTCACATTTTCTGGTCTGCTTTCCCCATTGCAAAAGCAAAATCTGGATGATAGAAACAGACACAGAGTCAGCAGGCAGCAAAGGCAGGGCCAGGGAGGGACTCTGCCGCAGCTGGGCTAGGCAATTCAGAGGCCTCGCTTCAGGGTCACTGCCTCAAAGAGCAAAGTGCATTCAGAGACAGGAGGCAAACAGCCTCACAAATGCAGCTAACCCCATGGGGCACCACAGGGCCAGGGCCAAGGAGACCAGAGGGCTCTAAAATGAAGGGGGGAAGGTATGCACCCCAGGGGTATGTGAACCTCCATCCGGTGGGGTACAAGAAATATTAGAACCTCCATTTAGAGTTATCTCTTCTTGTTATATGTATTTTGGTACATGTATTATAACGTATAAAATTTTATCACGTAGGATCAGATTTGACTGAGATTAAGAAAGAAGAGAAGGGGCTTCCCTGGTGGCACAGTGGTTGAGAATCCTCCTGCCAATGCAGGGGACACGGATTCGAGCCCTGGTCCGGGAAGATCCCACATGCCGCGGAGCAGCTAAGCCCGTGCGCCACAACTACTGAGCCTGCGCTCTAGAGCCTGTGAGCCACAACTACTGAAGCCCACACGCCTGGAGCACGCGCTCTGCAACAAGAGAAGCCACCGCAATGAGAAGCCCACACACTGCAACGCTCACCGCAACTAGAGAAAGCCTGCGCATAGCAACAAAGACCGAACACAGCCAAAAATAAATAAATAAAATAAATAAATTTATAAAACAAAAAAAAAAAAAGAAAGAAGAAAAAGAAGAGAAGAGAACAACAAAGGCTTAAACAAGAGAGAAGTTTATTTCTCTCTCGTGCAAATGGAGTCTGGCGGTGGGGCGCCCAGAACTGGTGAAGTGTCCTTTCTGGTTGTTCCACATCCTCAACATGTGGCTTCCACTCCGTTGTCCAAGGCTGTTGCTCACGGTCAAGCCATCCCGTTCACATTCGAGGCAGCAGGAAGGAGAAAGAAGGGAAGAACTGCATGTTCCTCCCATTGAGGACACTTCCTGGAAATTGCACCTTACACTTCTGACAATTCATTGGCTAGAATTTAGTCATGTGACCACATCTAGCTGCAAAGCGTCCTGGGAAATTGTAGGATGTCATGCGCCCATTAGGAAATGCTACACTAAGGAAGCGGGGAAGGATGGACACGGGATGCCACTAGCAGTTTCTACCATAGTAATATGTTAGTAGTAGAATAGCACATATGTATACTTACAAAGAAATAAATGTACTAGTTGGGTGCATAATCAAGATTGGGGCTTTTGGGGTGAAGTTTAAAGACCATTGCTGTGGATTATAGTACTCTAGAAGCATATAATTAATGGAAAGAAGGAATAGAGGTTTTTTCTTTTCTCAACCAAGTAAATTTGAAGCTCAATTGCCTTCATTCAACGACTCATGAATCAGGCAGCATCCCGTTTAGCAACTAGAAAGGCATCCCGAGGGATTTTTTTTTTTTTTCTTTTTAACCGTCTGGCATACATTCATCCTTCTCCTGGTAAAACAGTATGGAGAGTTTTATGTAGGGACTCATCCTTCCCCCACTCTAAGCGATGCCGTTGTGAGGGAGCCCTAATTAGTCTTAGCTAATCAACTCCTCTCATCCACTTGACCACTGGGATTAGTGTAGGTTACCGATTCGACTCTTAGAAAGGAGACACTGGACAGAACGTTAAGAGCACATGAAGTTGGAAGCTGCCCAAATCCTCCTGCAACCATGATGGGAGAGCTTATGTGAGACTGCAGCCAATGTCCAGAGGAGAAGGAAGTCACGCTGAGAGAGGATGGGGTCCTGGTGATACCATTTAAGGTCCTGTATCAAGCTGCACCTGAACACAGCATGCACTGTGATAAGGAGCCATTTTGGACCAGGTAGATGAGGTCAAACCCCTAGACCTGGCAGAGCATCTAGGTGGAAAGAGCCTGAGATGGAATGACTTCCTACAGCAGAGCCTGGCTGAATGTGTACGCGAAAGAGAAGACAATTCACTTTCCATCTTGGATAAGTGACTGTCTTTTTAAGTCTTTGTTTTAGCAGCCAGCCTACAGCCTAACTAGTACACATGTGTTATTTCATTTCGTTTATTTTTAACGATCTCATTTAATTACCCAAGGTGGCAGAGCAAGGGGGCGCAGAGCAAGGATCTGAACCCAAGACTGCCTGACTCAGGATCCCACACTGTCACTCACCACTTCAGCACTCTGCTCATGCGTCCCCGGGGCTAAGTCTCTTTCCTACATGCTGAGTGGAGTCACGGCACTCTACACTGTGCCCTCGTTGCATCTTCGCACTTAAGTGCTTTGGGGCCAGAGGCTGTACTCTTCCCCCTTGCACTGCCCGGGTCTGGATGGGGCTTGGCCCTCTGTAAATGTGGACGAAATAAATGAATAATAAATGGTCATGCTGAGCCTCAGAATATCTAGCAGGCTATTGGAGGATCAAATGAGATCATGTTTGAGAAGATGTTTTGAAAACTACAAGCCAATATATACACTTGGGTTATAGTCAGCTCTCTCGTTAGGAAATTCTCTATATTTAGGACAGGAATATGGCTGTTTCCATGCTGTACTGTCTTTTGGTACTTTCCTCTGAGAAACAGTGCTCCCTGTCATGTCACTCTTAGGGTTGGAGGACACCGAGAGGCCACTCAGACCTACCTCCTGGTGCCCTCCCACCCCTACCCCTGGCAGGATTCCCCTCTGTGACATTTCCACTGAAAGGTCAGTTGGTCAGTAGCCCTTCTAACAACTGGGCACTGTGATCAAAATGTGACTCAACAGTGCAGGACAGGAGACAGGCTCCATGCTGTCCCCAGATGTACCATGAGTTCTCCTCCACAGTTCAGAGTCCTCTTTCAAGGTCAGGTTCAAAGTCACCTGCTCTGCAGAAGTCTGCAGAGTCCAGCAGGGGCACCGAGGTCCCTTTCTTTCCTGCTGTGTCATTTTGTACTTTATTCTAAACCATATCACATCATACTTTTATTTGTGCTTTTTAATAAACCCCACTTAATCACTCCTTCAAGCTACCACCTCCACCCCTCATAGGTGAGATTTTTCAAGGACAGAGACTCTATCTTACTCTTTTGATTCTTATCACCTACCTCAGTGCCTGGCACTTGTTGATAAACTTAATAAATGCTTGTTAAAAGGATGAGTGAGTAAATGCATGAGCAGAGGGGCTAAAGCTTTGTCTCTGTCATTAGACAAACTCATGTCCAAATCCCATTGATTGACTATACTCATTCATTTATGCATGTACTCATTCATTCAGTCAAATTTTTATTGAGTACTTAATATATTCCAGACACCCTGCTAGACACTAGCATTGGAGAATCAGGAGGACAGAGTCCCTACCCTCACAAGTTTATATCTGAATAGTAGAGACAAAATAAAGAAGCACATCAGTAAGTAAACAAGCTATCTACAGATTCTAATATGTCCTGTGAATGAAATGAACAGGGGGCGTGTGACAGAGGATGTGAGGTTGGCAGTGGGCAACCGTTGATGATGGAGAGGGGGCAGGGAAAGCCTCGCTGGGAACGTTTGATCTGAGTCCTGAAGAATGAGTCCTTTAAAGAACAGGAGGAAAAACAGGGGATAGCCACAACCAGAAAAAAATTGCTTCTTTCTCTAAGGCTTAGTTTCCTCATCTGTAAATTGAAATAATCATAGCACCCACTTCATGATTTTTTGTGAAGCTTAAATGCATTGAAACACTTAGCATAGTGCAGGGCACCTAGAAAGCACTCGGTACATCTTAGCTCTTATTATGGGGTAATGCTATCGAAAGGAAATGAGGGTACAGTCCAGTGGTCCTCTGTAATTGCCACTTCCTTTCCAAGTTCTAAGCCATCTGTTAAACAACACAGTTAAGAATGTGCCTGGGAGGGAATTCCTGGTGTTCTAGTGGTTAGGACTCCACGTTTCCACTGCAGGGGGCACGGGTTCGATCCCTGGTTGGGAAACTAAGATCCCACAAGCTGCGCAGTGTGGCCAAAAAAGAAGAAAGAAAAGAATGTGCCTGGGGCACCAACCTTAATCTCTCTGACCTACGATCTCTAGAATCTCTTTAAAATGAGTGTAAATACCTTATAAGGTTGATAGAGGGTACAAATCAAACAATGTATGTAGAAGCCCTGTGCAAAGGTACTTATTTCTATTGTCATATCTTCAGAGTTTCTCCATAGTTTCTGGACATCTCATGTTATAGCTGCAAGCACACCACTGAGTTTGCCAGCCAAGAACCTTCTTAAAACAAGGCCCCTGAAACTGAACATGGAACTTCAAGCAAGCTCTGGCAGAGCAGGGAGAGCACCCACAATCCCAACACGGCCTTACAACCAGGTAACAAGTTAGTAGCAGAAGCAAGAGTAGAACCCAAGTCTGCTGCCCCCAGACCAACCAGATACACCCTCAGCATCCTGTGGTCCAGCAGGTGAGAAAAAGTTTGCCATGTTACTCCAGAACAAAAGGCCCCTGTGTTTTCTTCTTCTTTTTTTCTTTTCTTTCTTTTTTTTTCTTTAATTGAAGTATAGTTGATTTACAATATCATGTTAGTTTCAGGTGTACTTTTGAAGGAGTTGCAAGACACTTAACAAGGCTAGTCTTATCTACTGGTCAGATGGGAAGATCTTGCATTTATAACAGGAACAAAGAGAAAGATTCTAACCATCTCAGAGACAAAAGTCTTTCTGCAGTTCAAAGTCCTCTGAACCTGTGGTTTCTCTGATGTGCGTATTTGTGTACACACATACGTGTGCATGCAAGAGAGGAGAAATAGCACTGACTCCATACTTCAAGCCACTGACTCTTGCAGATAGGATTATTTTATGTATTCTTATTTTCAAGTCTGGCCTTAAATGGCAACATAAGCAGAAAGATGCCAAGGAGAGTGGTGGAACAAGGGCTTAATTACAGGGACCTTCGTACAACTAACATGCCAATAATTTGCCTAGCTGAGTGATTCAGCAGTAATCCTGCCAGGTTCCCAAAGAAAACCCATATCTGGGATGATGTAATGTCTCTCCACCCCAATACAGCCGTCTCTCTACACCCACCATCACAAGTTTACTGTCTCCTCTGGAGAGCCACAATTCCATCTGTGGAATTTTCAGTTGCCATCTGCACGGTGACAAATACGTGTTTTATTATTTAAATGGTATTACAATGTACAACGCTGCTAGTCTAGCCCTCATGCTTAAAATTTCAATAGAAAAATTAAGACAAAAAATCCTAGCCTCTGGTGAGTTATGTATTGGCAAATCATGTCTGCAGAATGCCTCCAGTATCTCAAATTAGATATTTGATCTATGTAGCCCATGAATATTTATACTTTGAGGCAAAGTGATTGATTTAATTTATCACTGGAAAATGAGGTGACTATCTAGACTCACTACATGGTAAGCCTTGCAGAGAATATGAAGAGAAAGGGACCCTAGTCCTACCCCTGTCCGATGTACCTTGTGCGGGGCTGGTAGATACTTTTGTTTGCCTACCTCAGATTCATTAGTCTTCCCCATATTTCTGATCAGACAAATACTCAGGGAAGGTGCTCTTATCCTCATGTAAACTAATTTTGGTTTTCCTTGCCACACTTGACTAAGCATATCATTCATTTTATTTCAATTTATTTTGAAGAGAAATGGAAGGAGATCTACTAGGGGCTTGGGGAGAGTTCTGGGGAAAAAAATTTTCTGATAAAAAGAGATCCAAAGAATAACCTCCTTTTTTTCTGCCGTTGGATGTTGTTGTGATACAAGGAACCCCTGCAGCCATCTTGCAAACATGAGGGTAGTTAGCCTGAAGGATTACAGAGATGACAAAAATCTGGGTCCTTGATGTTGATAAGTTACTGATAAACTAACCTAGAGCTGCCCCTACCTCCAGACTTCTCATTATAGAAAATAATAAATCCTTTGTTATTTAAACTGTTTGGATGGAGGCTTTCTGTACATAGAAGCTGAAAACATTACTAAGTAAGGCAGTGATTTTCAAGCTTTTTGACCATAAACCAAAGTGAGAAATATGTTTACATGTGATGCACTCTAAAATCTTCTGTTTGACTCTATTTCATTTTCTAAAATTCAAGTCATGACTCACTGAAGTGATTTCAAAACTCACTGGTGGTTCCTGACCCACATTTTGGAGAACATTAAAGTCATAGGGTACATAAGCTACTGTGATATAATGAAAAGCATAATGTGGTAAGTGTCATAAAAGACAAACAAAGTGCTGTCATGGGAGAGAATGATCACTTTGAGTTTGGGGAAACAGGGAAGCTTTCATGGAAGAGCTGGACCTTGAAAAAATAGCTACATTTTCAGCAAGAGAAGGGAGTTTAAGGAATGACCAGAGGAAAGGCAAGATGGTGGGAAGTCAGATAAATGCCAAAACCAGTGGGTAAACCTGGGCAGATGTTGACGTGTGTGGTTTAGAGAGTAGCGAGAAGTGAGGTCTGACTTGGGTTAGGTCACGTGCAGCCTTGATGGCAGGCAGATGGGAGGCCATATGAAGGAAGGCCTTCGGAAAGGGCTGGGTGTGAGGAAGTCTAAATAGGTGGCAGTTGCAAGTTGGGTTGAGTCTGAGTCATATCAGAAGCTCAAACTGGAACTTGAGGCAAATGAGAAGGGCCTCTGCTCTAGGAGCTCAGCTTCTGCTCTATCACATCTTTCTGCCTACAGTCACTGCAAACCCATTTTACGCAGGGGCGTCCTCTATCTGTGAGCTGCTTTTTAGCGGTGACCAAAGAGTGAACTGGTCTTTCTAAAAATTCTGCCTGGCAGCCCCCAATGTAAACCAACAGTGCTGATGTGGTGTTTCTGCTCAATGAAACCAACAGAGTAGGCAAGAGTGGCCAATCTGCAATTTCAGAAAGGCCAGCAACCCCCAACTTCTCATTGTTCCACTTGCACCCACCTGCCTGCCTTCTGATGAGTTAACATGTTGTTAGATCCAGCCCTAAAAGGTGGGCTGAGCCTTGCTACTTGGCACCTCTAATGAAAAAAAAAAAAAATTCAGTGGAGGAGGATTTGGAATTGCTGGTTAAATTGGGTGTCTGTGCTTTCCGTGGATTTTCATCACCCATGTCATTCCTCCCCTACTGTCTCCCTGAAAACCAAGACCTGACCCTCATGATGGAAATTAATCAAAACTAATCTGTGATTTCTCTTTTATTATACCTGTAGACATGAGGGGTTGGCAAATCATAGTAGATTTTTACTGGGAACCCAAATACTGGAGAATAGAACCAGATTTTGATCAATCTTAAATGGGGTCAAGTTTACCCTTACCCTCGTCCCTCAAATTAGTGATAGTTTCTTAATATGTAAGACCGAACGATCAAATTTCTGGAGCACTGTTTCTGTCCTGACAGTTGATACTCTTCGTGGTTTGAGCAGAGGCCCCTACATTTCTGCACCCACCCCCACGCCCGGCTCCATATGGAAAATTATAACCAATAGTCTGCCCTTTGGGAGCACAAAGAAAGTTAATTCCTTGGTTTAAGGTGGGGGACGTTGTCGTGATGGAAGCACCAGCTAGCTACATTTGACCCCAAAGCATATGAAATCAAGCCATACGTCTGCATGGTTACAGCAGTTCTGCCTTGGTATCTTCAAGTGGTTTATTTGGGCTTTTCTTTGTAGAAAGTGAACGAGTGAAACCTTACCAGCCTAACTGACAGCAAATGTTCTTCTCCTAGGATTTCTTTGACAATAACAGCTCAGAATCAACTCCCCTAGAACCATCTGCTGTTGATTTTCTAACCACACCTCCTAAGGCCTCCTCAGGGTCCAAAGTCTACTGTGCTTGCAGGTGTTTTAATTAGCTGGTATTTCCTTTTTATATTTTTATTTCCTTCATGGACATTTATTCAAAAACTCTTTCTAATAACTTACTTTAATAACATTTTCCCTAATTTTAAAAGTAACATAAGCCCATTTGTATACAGAAAAGCATAAAGAAAAAAGTATCACGCCTGTAAGAGGTACTTGCTGAGCTCCATCCCGTCCACTTTGATGACAGTGATGCCTGTCTCAAGCACTCAAACAGTGGCTCTCATCCTGTTGGAGCCAGCACCCTCTTTTTATAACAAGTATTTTTATAACTTCACCTTTATTACACTGAAATGGATTTTATAGATAATATGTACACATCTTTTTAAAAATTCAATAATCATATTACAAAGTGTTATTGACTGAATGTTTGTATCCCCCCAAAATTCGTATGTTGAAATTCTAACCTCCAAAGTGACGGTATTAGGAGGTGGAAGCCTTTGGGAGTTGCTTAGGTCCTAAGGGTGGAGCCCTCATGGATAGGATTAGTGTCCTTATAACAGAGACCCCCAGGGAGCTCTCTTTCCCTCTACACCAAGCGAAGATACAAAGAGAAAATGACCATCCACCCTCATAAGAATATGATCATTCTGACACCCTGATCTTGCATTTCCAGCCTCTAGAATTGTGAGAAATAAATTTCTCTTGTTGATAAGCCAACTGCCTGAACTGACTAAAGCACAAAGTAGAATTAAAAGGAAAATAATTTACAGTAAAAGAGCGAGTCTGTCAACTGTGCAAATGCGCAGCAGGACTAGCCTAGAAGAAATGAATAACAATGTTGCAGGCGCTGGATACCCAGAATCCCTGTGAATGTGTCAGCTAGCAGTGCAGGCCCATACAGTTCTGCTGTAGTGGAGATGCAGACTCCATGAGTGGTGCTGACATTGCTAATGTGATTTTCCAAAATGGGGAACAAACTCTTGGAAAAGTTCTAAATAAAACAAAGCTCAGTGTTCCCTTGATGTATGCAGTAATTGCTTGCCTTGAAAATACAGTGCATTTAAAAAATGCTTTGGTTTTACAGATAAGAAGAGTTAGGTTTAGCTCCAATATTTTGAACAGTTTCTTCACCTTTGTGAATGTTCAAAATTCATGAAGGTCACAAGAATGGGTGTTCCATGCATTGTGGGTCGTTAACCATCTCCTGTCTTTACATCTCTAGCTACTAATTCAAGGCCACTAATAGCCTTGAATCATTGAAACAATAGACAACGCCCTCCTCCACATTTGTCCAATGTCCCAGTTGAGAAGGACAGATCCAGGTGAACCCCGGTGCTCCCATACCCTGTCCTGTGATGAAACACCAGGGGAATGCTACTGACGGCCTTTGGCTCAAGGTGTTTCTACCCGATAATAAGAAACACAAGGTGCGTAAACGGTACCTTTCTCTGCCTGCGGTTGTTCTATGACGATATGAGGCCTGGGGACTGCTATCATCTCGCTGTCATCCAGAGAGCCAGCCCAAGGAGGAGGCCAATGCGGGGCGCAGGCAGAGGAGAGCGGTGGGAAGAAGTGGGGTACCCGCTGACTTAAAACGAGCCACTGAATGAGCCAACCCCAGAACTGCCCCCCTTCCTTTCCTGTTGATGGGTTAAATTGCACAAGCCGCTGGGGTTGGGGTTTTCTGTTTTACAGACAAAAGTTTCTTCCTGATAAAAGCACTCATATTCTCACTGGAGATCCCCTTTCGGAGCTTCATGCAGAGAAATGGCCTCCTTTCTTGGTTCTACCTTGAGATGAGGTGGTTAAGGAAGTGTCTAGGTTCCCATTCCAGCTTCGCTTTTACAAGCTGTGTAAATATTGGCAAGTCCCTTCATCTTTCGATGTCTCATTTCCTCATCTGTAAAATGGGAACAATAATAGTTCCCACAACAACAACATCCAGGGATGTTGTAATGATTAAGCTAAATGAGTTAGTATAAGGAAAGCACTTGGAACAGTACCTAGCCCATCACTCGTGCTGAATCAGTGGTAGCTAGGATTACACTCTCTTTCAGCTTTTCGGTTAGATTTCTTTTGGCCGCAAATGACAGAAATGCCATTCAAACTAAATTAAGCAAGACAAGGAAAGTCACTGGCGGCTGAGGGCACCGAGGTGGGTTACGAGATCAGAAAGAACTGCCAGGATCAAGGCCTTGGGGATCGGATGCGGTCCTTCTAGACAAAGAGTTCATATCCTTGACTGCCCGTAAGAATCATCCACAGGGCTTTTTAGAGTCCCAAGGCCCAGGCTGCATCCCTGACCAATCAAATAAAAATTCCAGTTTTTAAAGCTCCCCAGGCAAGTCCAACGTGCAGCCCCAGCTGAGAACTCCTGCCTAGATCTCAGTTCATCGGCCTCTGGTCTTTGCTGTTCTCTGTTTGTTTCATTCTATAGAAATCTATTCCACGGCTTCCATGTCTGTCCTCCCATAACAATCTCAACAGAAAAAAAAAATTTTTAAATAACAAAGTTCTTTCTCCCCGCATCCACATAGCAATGGATCTGTCCTGCTTGGGTCTCCTTATCCTTTTTATTCCGATCACTGTTGCTAAGGGCTGGGGTACAAACCCACCCCTGTGGTCAGGAATCTTGATTGACAACTTACCAGAAACACTTGGCCTGGAGACAGAGCAAGTGCCTCAAAGATCTAAAAGGACTGAGCAGGAAAAGTCTGTACACATCATCTAATTAAATAAGACTAGTTACACTTCATCTTTTTTGTTTTTTTTTTTCTTGGTGTAATTTATTGTCAGCGTGATTTGCTTCAGCCATTTTTTCGTAACCAATGAGATTTAGGCTTGATGGGGTCTTGTCTTGAAGTCTTTTAACCACTGCAAGTGAGGAGATTATTGCTTGGCTGGGACGTTGCCTGGTCTGTCCCTTGGTCTGTCTCCCGGCTGCCTGGATGGATTTGCAGTTCTTCATTCCCTGGAGCCGCTTATTCACTGATTCCTTGTCACACCCACAGATGACTGATCTCGTAAGTTTCCTTTGTGATTTCACTCTGGGATCATTTTCTGACAATACTGTCCCTCTTGCTACTGACTACACAGTATTTCAATTCAAACTGAAACCCAAGTTTCCATTTCCTCGAAATTTTGAACTTTCATCTCCTTTTTTTTATAAATTTATTTATGTATTTTTGGCTGCGTTGGGTCTTTGTTGCTGCACGCGGGCTTTCTCTAGTTGTGGTGAGCAGGGGCCACCCTTCATTTGCGGTGCACGGGCTTCTCATTGCGGTGGCTTCTCTTGTTGAGGAGCACGGGCTCTAGGCGTGCGGGCTTCAGTAGTTCTGGCACGTGGGCTCAGAGGTTGTGGCTCGCGGGCTCTAGAACGCAGGCTCAGTAGTTGCGGCGCACGGGCTTCGTTGCTCCGTGGCATGTGGGAGCTTCCCGGACCAGGGCTCGAACCCGTGTGCTCTGCATTGGCAGGCAGATTCTTAACCCCTGTGCCACCAGGGAAGTCCCTCTCATCTCCTTTACTTGCTTATCTTCAGGTTGGAGGAGCTCTTTTAGGAATGCATTTTTTTTTTTTAAACCAAAAGATGATTGGAATTACACATGGTATTAAAATCCTAGAGTATGCTCATCCACATGTGGTAAATAAATAGCACTCACCAGATTCCCTTTTTTAAACTGGACACTATCAAGAACAATAAAACACATTCCCAACCTTCCAGGAAGTAAAGAATTTTTAAGCCAGCTGGAGCAAAGTGTATTTGAGGAGACAAACCACAGTAAATACCTGTGTGTAATTAACAGAATAAGCAGCATAATCAAAGAGCTGCTCCCCTGCATATCTGCACCCCCAAGGATCTCATTCTCTGGGGTTTATTTCTGGGGCTCTGTCATGGCATGTTTTCTGAATTCAGCTTACTTTAGGTTTCACAAGTTTCTGGTGACACACTGAGCAGCTAATTTTGATCTCAGACTTTCCCAACCCACTGAAGCCATTGCGGCAACATGACAGATGAATGATGGGGGGAAACGGCTGCAATGCAAGGTGAATGCTGGGGAAGGGATGGACAGAGGGCCCTTGTCATTGTGTGTGCTGCCTCTGGGGGGTTTTATTACAAAGGAAGTCTCCATCTCTTGGTTATTAAGTAGATGCCTTACAGGCCTCTTCCTGTTTTGCTCACACTTTGCATAGTTTCAGTTGAAGTGAAAAGGGCCCCCAAAGGGGCTTTGCTCCACCACTAGATGGAGGAATACCTTCTCCCGTGCAGCCCTGGAGACAAGGGCCAGGAAAAGGATCTACTGCCACCCAACCCAACCTTTGTCAGCCCCCCTCGTCCCTCCCCCACGCCGAGCAGGAAGCCACCTGCCGCAGCAACGGTCACTGCTGAGGTCACCCTCATCGTGTGCTTTACATTTTGAGATCTGATTCCTGCGTGAAGCCGCAGCATCCTCTTTGGTGTTCTTTGAAAGTTCTGTGTTTTTCCAGCTGTTCCACAAACCTTTGTTGGCCAGGGCGGCCTTGCACATAGCTTTCCAAAATTACTGTCAGCATTCTTTCCACCCACAGGATCCGCAATGACCCTCCACCTTTGTGAATGCAAATCCTTCCCCCTTCTTACTGAGTTTGTCTCACTTCCTCCTCCCAAAAAAAGCTGCCTGCGTCACTCTGGCCCGTGAGCGGCGCTGGAAACAGGTCACCAGGCACAGCCAGGAATAGTTTCCTCTATTCTTGAATTTCATATAAATAGAATCACACAGTGTGTCCTTTTTGTGTGTGGCTTCTTTTGGTCAGCGCTTCGTCTAGGAGATTCATCCTAGACGAAGGATGTTAAGCCCTTCTTATTCCCTTGTATGACCACAGATTGTCAGTTCCCTTATTGATGGACATTCAGGTTACTTCCAGTTCTGACTATTGTGAATCAGGCTGCTGTGAACATTCTTGTACAAGGCGTTTTCTGGATGTATGTACTCATTTCTCTGGTGTATATACTGCGCGGTCGAAGCACTGGTCCTTGTAAGTGTATCCTTAGCTTTACTAGAAATGGCCAGTTTTTCAACATGGTTGTTTTAATATATGTTTAATCATCACAACAGTCTTAAGTGTTCATCAGTCAGTTTGCAGTTGAGCACCTACTATGTGCTAAGCACTGATCTAGGTGCTGGGATACAGCAGTGAATAGGCAGACAAGGTCCCTGTCGTTGAGACACATTCTCGTGGGGCGGGGGGACAGGCAATAAAACCTAAATAAACAGAGAAGATCATTTCAGATGCGGACACAGGCTATGTAGAATAGAGTGTGTAATGGGATGGAGCTCTATGGAGGAGGGTGCTGCTTTGCGCAGAGCTCCTGGGAGGTGTCTTTTCTTTTTAGCAGCATGTGAATTTGTTTATTTATTTATTTTATTTTTTAAAAAAATTTTTACTTCCCCTCCTGCCTCCTGGGATCTCACCTTGGTGAACCAGTTAATGAGCCAAGATGGAATTTGGCCACCAGGATTATCGAAGTAATACATGAAAACTAGAGAGGAAAAAAAAGGACAATTCAGAAGGAGGAAAAAATACAGCAACAAACCCTGCAAACATTCCAGGTTTATATTCAGGCCCAGAAATTAAGGAGGGAGGTAACACAGAATTCAAGTGTACAGCATGTGAGTTTAATGAAGGTGTTTTCATTTTTTTAAATTAATTTATTTATTTATTTATTTATTTTTGGCTGCATTGGGTCTTCGTTGCTGCACGCGGGCTTTCTCTAGTTGCGGCGAGCTGGGGCTACTCTTCATTGCTGCACGCGGGCTTCTCATGGCAGTGGCTTCTCTTGTTGCGGAGCACGGGCTCTAGGTGCGTGGGCTCCAGTAGTTGTGGCACCTGGGCTCAGTAGTTGTGGCGCACGGGCTTAGTTGCTCCGCGGCATGTGGGATCTTCCCGGACCAGGGCTCGAACACGTGTCCCCTGCGTTGGCAGGTGGATTCTTAACCACTGCGCCACCAGGGAAGCCCTCTGGGAGGTGTCTTTGAGAAGCTGAATCTGAGTCACCATCTGAAAGATGGGGAGGATGTGGCCACGCAGGGCATGGGGAAGAGTGTGAGAAGCAGAGGGACAGCAAGTGCAGCTGCCCTGGGGCAGGAAAAAGCGTGGTGGGTTTGGGGAGAGACGGGGTCTGTGAGGCTGACACACAGTCATTCATTCATTCATTCAACAGGGAAATATGGACTGAGCTTCTGCTATTTTAGGTTCTGGGGATCCAGCAGGGGACAAAAGAGATGACCAACCTGCTGTCACAGAACAAGAAGGAAAGAGCAGGTGGGAGGATTTGGAGGAGGAACCAGAGGCAGGTTAAGTAGGATCGTGTGTAGACCATAGAAAGGAGCTTGGATTTTATCCTGGAGCAGTGGGAAAACACAGAAGGGGTTTAAGCAGAGATGTGAAAATGATCTGATTTACGGGGATGGAGCAAGGATGCAGTAAGGGAGACTCATTAGAAGGCCAGGTAGTGATCTGGGCTGGAGACTCTGGGTTGGGACTACAGCTGTGGCCGTGGAAACAGTGAACATGACCAGCATTCAGGAGATAT